GCAATTAGCCTCCAACTGAAAACAAATAACTTTTATAAAAAAGAAATCAAATAATTAAAAAACCCCACTCTGGAGTTCCATGGCTATCTTCTAACACACTTGAAGGTTCCATCCAAAGATTTTGTCTTTTGTAATTGGGATCATAGTGCAAGATCTTTATTAGCATTCTTAACGGCGAACAGGTTAATGGCGTCTCTAAATATCTTTTATTGTTCAAGCTGTTTTTCTCCTCAAGGTAAGGAATGTAAATCTAGATTGTGGTAGAAGAGTCTGGGCTGAAACTGTTTGCTGTAGAGAATGAAGTGGTTGCAATGCCCCTTGGACCATTTCTTCTTAAATATAGACCCCTGGTGCTTTTTAACGTGCTGTGAAGCCGACAGATTCTGGGGTGTTGTTAGAAGGCAGTCCACTCACTGAAGACCCTGGACCCCCAGGCAGCCTAAGACAAGAGCTACTTCACCTCTGTCTGAGAATCACCAGAGCAGGATCTGGGGAAATGCACAGTATTATTTTGGGGTCATGTTTGAATAATTTAGAATATTAGCATTGAATCTGGCATGCACAAATCTTAGCCTGTAGATTAGTGGAACAGAGTCAATGTTAGAAACCCTTTGCTGAATTCCGACTTCTGCCTTGTAAGATAAACCACCAGGAGTAACTTGAGAATCTCTCCACTGCTATATGGGAAGCAAATCTGAGCACCCCGTGAGTATATTACAGTGATTATTAAGGATGAAGAAACTTGCTGCCTTTCACTGGGTTGAGAGGCAGATGAGTTTGCCCTCTCGGTGGGTAGATGAGTACACCATCTTGTCACTCGCTATGGGTGGCAATACGCTGCTTTCTTGAGAGCAAACATCCCTCAGATCCCATAGGAGTCCTTGTAAAAAATTTTATTTGTTTATTTGTGTTTGACTGCCCTGGGCCTTTGCTGTGCGCAAGCTCTCTAGTTGAGGGGGGTGGGGGCTACCGTTTGTAGTGGTGCCCGGGCTTCTTGCAGTGACTTCTCTAGCATAGGTTTTAGGTGCATGGGATTCGGTAGTTGCAACTCATGGGCTCCAGAGCATGGGCTCAGTAGCTGTGGCACAGGGCTGAGTTGATCCTCAGCATGCGGAATCTTCCTGGCCCAGGGGCGAACCCACGTCCCCTGCATTGGAAAGTGGATTCTCATCCACTGCACCACCAGGGAAGTCTCCGTACAAGGCTTAAAACGGGTCTTGCTGTTGTTTTTAAAGTAAACAGAAGCCTCTGATTTTAATGTTTTTTTTTTTTTTTTAAGGAGACATGTCATCTGCTGTAAGTGGCTTCAATGTGGTGGGCAAATTTTGTTTGGGGGTCATCTGCCATATGATTCCAAAAAGAGTCATCAGAAGTCCTTGAGTGAAAGGACTCAGGGCTACTGTTGTGCTAAGCAGGTCAGGCAGGCCCAGGAAGGTTTATTTCCTAGTGTGAAGCACAGCATCACTTCCATCAGGTCAGGCTGAACAGATCTTAGTTATGAAGATACAGCCATGATAGACCTTGGCTCTCCACATCTTCAAAAGTTCATTTCAGTTTTCAACCATTGGGCTGGTAACAAGCTTTGGTATCTGTGTGTCAGACGGCATAAGATGATCTAAGGAAATCATGGTGCTTGATTAAGTCCATTTCTTGGTTCCAAACAAATGCAGTCACCTTTGATCCGCAGCTGGTAAAGAATCTGCCTGCAGTGCAAGAGGCCTGGGTTCAGCCCCTCATCAGGAAGATCCTTCTCCAGGGGATGGAGAATGGCAGCCCACTCCAGTGGTCTTGCCTGGAGAATCCCATGGACAGAGGAGTCTGGTGGGCTGCAGTCCATGGGGTCGCAAAGAGTCAGACACAGCTGAGCGACTAGCACTTTCTCTACTTTACTTTTCAGCCCAGGGTGACAAGGTGGTGCAGGTTAATTGCAAGTCCATACTGTGAGAGTGAATTCTGACTTTGTTCTTGGAAAGATATGCTCTTTCGAGTCTGTTGGTTTGATTCCTTGTGATGGCTTTCACAGTCTGACAGCGAGGCAAGTTATCTGTAAATCACAGTGATTGAGAATGAGGTCTTCTTGTGCCCCCTAGAGACATTGATTCTTAGAACAGTTTATTAAGATGTCACTTTTAGAAGGACCTTTCGTCTTCATGTCCAGAACTCAGTAATACATTGAGTCACTTTTTTTTTTGATTAATCATTCTTCTTTTTTTCCCCCATTTATTTTTATTAGTTGGAGGCTAATTACTTTACAATATTGTACAAAAAACATTGAGTCACTTTTGTGCAGCTTGATTTCAGCCACTTTGGAACTTAAAGGCTTGGGTTCATGTGAAAAGGGCACTGGTCTGGTGAATAATCCTTTCAAATTACAATATATTAATTATTCATGGATTTAAATCTCAATTTCCCACATAGTAACTGAGTTATATTGTACAAGATTTTAATCTCTCTAAATCTATAATTCCCTTTTTTTTGGTAAAATGAGGAAAATAATCATACTTTGCTCTTTGGATTGTTATATGAATTAAATGAGATAATGTAAAGTTCAAAGCTCAGTCCCTGATGCACAAACTGCCTGTGGAAAATATTAGCCCAAATAATGACTGCAGATATTTGGGGACTGACAAGAAAGCTGAGCCCCGAAGAATTGATGCTTTTGAACTGTGGTGTTGGAGAAGACTCTTGAGAGTCCCTTGGACTGCAAGGAGATCCAGCCAGTCCATCCTAAAGGAAATCAGTCCTGAATATTCATTGGAAGGACAGATGCTGAAGCTGAAACTCCAATACTTTGGGCACATGTTGCGAAGAGTGGGCTCATTGGAAAAGACCCTGATGCTGGGAAAGATTGAAGGCAGGAGTGTTATCTAAAGGTATGCGTGGGAGGTCCGGCTGCTCGCCACTTAAAAGCCAGTAAACAAGCCAGGTTGGTGGAAAGGAAAGTTTGCTTTATTTCAGGTGCCGGCAACTGGTGGGGGGGGAGGCGGGCGGACATCTGTTCAAAGGCCGATTTCCGCCCTGCCTCCCCCTCTACTGACAAGCAGTGGGTGAGAGCCTTTATAGACAGAGTGGGGGGTGGGTGGGTTACATGCAGAAACAGCACAGTCATCTCTAACAGTCATCTTCCATTGGTCATCAGTGGTCCCACTAGCATCGCCTTGGTTGTTTTAGGCACAGTTAAGCTTCAGTCCCTGGGTGCACTTGTTCCTGTTTCCTCACAGCCACCCCTCTGAATTGTGGCAGCCCCTGGATCCAGTCTGGTCGCCATGCAGCTGCCTTCTCCACCTGGGGTGTTGGCATCCGTAAGACGGCTCACAGGCTGCGGCTCAGAGTGCTACCCACAGCCCTCGAGAACTGACGCTCCTTGACTCTGTGTGATGACCACATTACTGTTTAGTCTCCTGGGACTGTTTTCCTTTGTTTCGACACTTCTCACTTCTCTGATCAAACTTATGCTTTGACTAAAGTTGTCTACAAGCAGAAGGCAGGCAGAGAATATGCTGAGAGGTGGGCAAGAACCACACGGTCTTGCTCTCTTTCAGGAGGAGAAGAGAACGACAGAGGATGAGATGGTTGGATGGCATCACTGACTCCGTGGACGTGAGTTTGAATGAACTCCAGGAGTTGGTGATGGGCAGGGAGGCCTGGCGTGCTGCAGTCCATGGGGTTGCAAAGAGTCAGACACAACTGAGCAACTGAACTGAGCTGAACTGAACCTATCAAATTCAGTTTCTTATAGCTCAAAGAACTGGTCAAGCAACTCTATTTTCTTACTATAACTGTAGATAGTAAGGATGTTTTGGAATAACTTTAACTTGGAAGATTCAGTGAAATATTTTTTAATATAAAAACACAGAAAATAAGGTAACTTCAAATTTTTAAAAATATTTTATTTATTTTTATTTTTGACTGTGCTGGGTCTCTATTGCTGTGTAGGCTTTTCTCTGGATTTGGAAATAAGGAGTTCATGATCTGAGCCACAGTCAGCTCCCGGTCTTGTTTTTGCTGACTGTATAGAGCTTCTCCAGCTTTGGCTGCAAAGAATATAATCAGTCTGATTACGGTGTTGACCATCTGGTGATGTCCATGTGGAGAGTCATCTATGTGTTGTTGGAAGCAGGTGTTTGCTATGACCAGTGTGTTCTCTTTGCAAAACTCTATTAGCCTTTGCCCTGCTTCATTCCATACTCCAAGGCCAAATTTGCCTGTTACTCCAGGTATCTCTTAACTTCCTACTTTTGCATTCCAGTCCCCTATAATGAAAAGGATATCTTTTTTGGGTGTTAGTTCTTGAAAGTCTTGTAGGTCTTCACAGAACTGTTCAGCTTCAGCTTCTTCTGTGTTAGTGGTTGGGGCATAGACTTGGATTACTGTGATAGTGAATGGTTTTCCTTGGAAAAAGCAGAGACATTACTTTGCCAATGGTCTGTCTAGTCAAGGCTATGGTTTTTCTAGCAGTCACATATGGATGTGAGAGTTGGACTATAAAGAAAGCTGAGCGCCGAAGAATCGAGGCTTTTGAACTATGGTGTTGGAGAAGACTCTTGAGAGTCTCTTGGACTGCAAGGAGATCCAACCAGTCCATCCTAAAGGAGATCAGGACTGAATATTGATTGGAAGGACTGATGCTGAAGCTGAAACTCCAAAGCTTTGGCCACCTGATGCGAAGAGCTGACTCTTTGGAAAAGACCCTGATGCTGGGAAAGATTGAAGGCGGGAGAGAAGGGGACGACAGAGGATGAGATGGTTGGATGGCATCACCGACTCAATGGACATGGGTTTGGGTAGGCTCTGGGTGCTGGTGATGGACAGGGAGGCCTGGCGTGCTGCAGTCCATGAGGTCGCAAAGAGTCAGACATGACTGAGCGACTGAACTGACTGAACTGTGCGGGTCTCTAGTGGTGTGCAGGCTTCTCTCCAGTTGCGGGCATGGGGTCTGCTCTCCAGTCGCTGGCTGCGGGCTTCTCCCTGGGGTGGCCCCGCGGCGTGGAGCGCAGGCTCTAGGGCATCTGGGTCAGTGGTGGCGGCGCGTGTGCCAGTAGCTGCAGAGCTGCAGAGCAGAGGGTCCGCAGCTGCACGGCACGGACTTTGCTGCTCCGAGGCGTCTCAGGTCTTCCTGGGCCGGGGACCAAACCCGCAACTCCTGTACTGGCGAGCAGATTCTGCATCATGGAGCTGCCAGGGAAGCCAAATAAGGTCAAATTTTAATTTTCTGAGTGAGTCCAATGTTGGCATAAATTACTAAGCACAACTTTTCTAAGGGTAGAATATAACAAGAATTTATTAAGTGGACGTATACATCTCTTTCAGGCATTAATTAGAAAATGTTTTGTTGTTCGGTTGCTAAATTGTGTTTGACATTCTGCAGCCCCCTAGACTACAGCACACCGGGCCTCCCTGTCCTTCACTGTCTCTTGAAGTTTGCTCACACTCATGTCCATCGAGTCGGTGATGCCGTCCAACCATCTCATCCTCTGTCGTCCCCTTCTCTCCCGCCTTCAGTCTTTCCCAGCATCAGGGTCTTTTCCACTGTGTCAGCTCTTCCCATCAGGTGGCCAAAGTACTGGAGTTTCAGCTTCAGCATCAGTCCTTCCAATGAATATTCAGGACTGATTTCCTTTAGGATGGACTGGTTGGATCTCCTTGCAGTCCAAGGGACTCTCAAGAGCCTTCTCCATCACCACAGTTTGGAAGCAGCACAGTTTGAAAGCATCATTTCTTTGACGATCAGCATTCTTCATGGTCCAACTCTCACATCCATATACAACTCCTGGAAAAACCATAGATTTGACTAGATGGAACTTTGTTGGCAAGGTGATGTCTCTGCTTTTTAATACACTGTGTAGGTTTGTCATAGCTTTTATTCCAAGGAGGAAACATTAGAAAATAATCATTTCAATGTGTCTAGGATGTCCATTTCTCTCCAGACAGCGTAACTTTCAGCAGAACTTCTCCCTCCCACATCCTACAGTTGAAGTTGGGTCCCTGCGTCTATTTTGGCATAAGCAGAATCCCACGCTTCAGTCTTTCTATTTTGGATTGTGACTCATGCCTTCTTGTTCCCTAAAATTACTGTCTCGAGGTTGGATTTCCTGCTAACTTTGCTTGTTTGGGCTGAGTGGATTCTTCTTTTCAGTTCCTGTGAAGGATGATGTTTAATTATCCTGAGAAATGTTAATCTCCCAGACATACAGTCCCGGCTAGAGCAGTCTCAGTGATGAGAAGACTGTGGTCTATGAAAAGAGAAAGCCCTCTAGAGTTAGCCAGGCCTGAGTTCTGTTTCTTTTTTTATTGAAAGTACAGTTGATTTACAATAGAATATTAGTTTCCACTGTGTTGTTGTTCAGTTGCTAAAGTTGTGTCCTGCTCTTTGTGACCCAATGGACTGCAGCATGCCAGGCTCCCCTGTCCTCCACTATCTCTTGCTCAAATTCATGTCCAGTGAGTCGGCGATGCTACTTAAACATCTCATCTGCCACCCCTTCTTCTTTTGCCTTCAATCTTTCCCAGCCTCAGAGTCTTTTCCCATGAGTCGATTCTAACCATCAGGGGACCAAAGTATTGGGGCTTCAGCTTCAGCATCAGTCCTTCCAATGTGATTCAGATTATACCCCAGTAAAGGTCATTACAAGATGACTTTAATTCCCTGTGGTACACAATGTATCCTTGTTGCTATATTATGCAAAGTAGTTTGTATCTCTTCATCCCTTATCAGGATCTTGCCCCTGCCCCTTTCCTCTCCTCACTGGTAACCACTAGTTTGTTTACTTATATCTGTGTGTCTGTTTCTGCTTTGCCATGTGCAATACTTCTTTTTTTTTTTAGATTCCACAGATAAGTGATGTCTTCCAGTATTTGTCTCTACCTAGCTTATTTCACTGAGCATAACACTGTCTAGGTCCGCCCACATTCCTGCACATGGCAGAACTTCATTCCCTTTTATAGGCTGAATAATAGTCCATTGTATGTCCATTTACGTATCCTATGCATATTCCTCTGTGGATGGGCTGTGACCTGGGTTCAGGTCTGAATGATAGTCCATTGTATGTCCATTTACGTATCCTATGCATATTCCTCTGTTGATGGGCTGTGACCTGGGTTCCGGTCTGAATGGTAGTCCATTGTGTGTCCATTTACGTATACTATGCATATTCCTCTGTTGATGGGCTGTGACCTGGGTTCAGGTCTGAATGATAGTCCATTGTATGTCCATTTACGTATCCTATGCATATTCCTCTGTTGATGGGCTGTGACCTGGGTTCCGGTCTGAATGGTAGTCCATTGTGTGTCCATTTACGTATCCTATGCATATCCCTCTGTTGATGGGCTGTGACCTGGGTTCCGGTCTGAATGATAGTCCATTGTATGTCCATTTACGTATCCTATGCATATTCCTCTGTTGATGGGCTGTGACCTGGGTTCAGGTCTGAATGATAGTCCATTGTATGTCCATTTACGTATCCTATGCATATTCCTCTGTTGATGGACTGTGACCTGGGTTCCGGTCTGAATGATAGTCCATTGTATGTCCATTTACGTATCCTATGCATATTCCTCTGTTGATGGGCTGTGACCTGGGTTCAGGTCTGAATGATAGTCCATTGTATGTCCATTTACGTATCCTATGCATATTCCTCTGTTGATGGACTGTGACCTGGGTTCAGGTCTGAATGGTAGTCCATTGTATGTCCATTTACGTATCCTATGCATATTCCTCTGTTGATGGGCTGTGACCTGGGTTCCGGTCTGAATGGTAGTCCATTGTATGTCCATTTACGTATCCTATGCATATTCCTCTGTTGATGGGCTGTGACCTGGGTTCCGGTCTGAATGGTAGTCCATTGTATGTCCATTTACGTACACTATGCATATCCCTCTGTTGATGGGCTGTGACCTGGGTTCCGGTCTGAATGATAGTCCATTGTGTGTCCATTTACGTATCCTATGCATATTCCTCTGTTGATGGGCTGTGACCTGGGTTCCGGTCTGAATGGTAGTCCATTGTATGTCCATTTACGTATCCTATGCATATTCCTCTGTTGATGGGCTGTGACCTGGGTTCCGGTCTGAATGATAGTCCATTGTATGTCCATTTACGTATCCTATGCATATTCCTCTGTTGATGGACTGTGACCTGGGTTCAGGTCTGAATGGTAGTCCATTGTATGTCCATTTACGTATCCTATGCATATTCCTCTGTTGATGGGCTGTGACCTGGGTTCCGGTCTGAATGGTAGTCCATTGTATGTCCATTTACGTATCCTATGCATATTCCTCTGTTGATGGACTGTGACCTGGGTTCAGGTCTGAATGGTAGTCCATTGTATGTCCATTTACGTACACTATGCATATCCCTCTGTTGATGGGCTGTGACCTGGGTTCCGGTCTGAATGATAGTCCATTATGTGTCCATTTACGTATCCTATGCATATTCCTCTGTTGATGGGCTGTGACCTGGGTTCCGGTCTGAATGGTAGTCCATTGTATGTCCATTTACGTATCCTATGCATATTCCTCTGTTGATGGGCTGTGACCTGGGTTCCGGTCTGAATGGTAGTCCATTGTGTGTCCATTTACGTACACTATGCATATTCCTCTGTTGATGGGCTGTGACCTGGGTTCCGGTCTGAATGGTAGTCCATTGTGTGTCCATTTACGTACACTATGCATATCCCTCTGTTGATGGGCTGTGACCTGGGTTCCGGTCTGAATGGTAGTCCATTGTGTGTCCATTTACGTATCCTATGCATATCCCTCTGTTGATGGGCTGTGACCTGGGTTCCGGTCTGAATGATAGTCCATTGTATGTCCATTTACGTATCCTATGCATATTCCTCTGTTGATGGGCTGTGACCTGGGTTCCGGTCTGGGTTTGCCACCGGGGGAGGGGAGCAGCCTCTTGTGGCAATCACAAGTGTGGAGGCGTCCGGCTCTTCTGGGGCAGAGTTTTCATTGTCTGGTTTCAGGTGGCGCTGCTGGTAAAGAGCCTGGCTCTCAGTGCAGGAGATGGAAGAGATGTGCGTTCGATCCCTGGGTTGAGAAGGTCCCTTGGAGGAGGGCGTGGCAACTCACTCCAGTGTTCTGGCCTAGGGGACCCCATGGACAGAGAAGCCTGGTGGGCTACAGTCCTTAAAGTCGCAAAGGGTCAGACATGACTGAGGTGACTTAGCCCGTGTGCCTAGTCTTACAGGACGAAGTCAGAAGCAGCTGTGATTCTGTTCCGGCAGTGGTGTGGTATGACTGGATGACTCTGCTCCTGGCAGTGAGCCTTCTAACCTGGGTTGTCCAGCCCCCCCAAAGATTGTGCTGCTGCCTAATATCATATTACCAAAACTCATTGTGCTTAACCAGTAAAGAGGATTCGGTTTCTGCTAGTAAGAACCCAGACTTATGCCATCCTTTCCCACCTGCATCCGAATCCAGTCTATCACCCAGTTCTGCCAATGGAGTCATTTCGATCTGTCTGCTTCTCTTTCCTTCTGCTTCTTCCTTGGTTCAGGAACTACCTTTTTTGTCCAGATCCCATCCACAGCCTCCTGTTGGCTCTCTGACCCCCAGACCACCCCACTCTAATTCATTCTCCTCACTGACCCCAGAGTCATCTCCCTACGATGCCAACATGCTCATGACACCTCCCAGAGTAAACTCCCCAGTGCTTAGTCACGTCTGACCCTTTGTGACCCCATGGACTGTAGCCCACCAGGCTCTTCTGTCCATGGGATTCTCCATGAAAGAATCCTTGAGTGGGTTGCCTTTCCCTCCTCCAGGGGATCTTCCCGACCCAGGGATCGAACCAGCGTCTCCTGTGTCTCCTGTATGGACAAGCAGATTCCTTACCGCTGATGCCACCTAGACTCCTGCTCTGTGGGATCACTTTCTATTCCTCGTGTGTGCAGTTGGTCCTCTTATCACCAGCTGTGTGTGAATTTACTCTTTCCACCTAGAATGCGCTTCTCCCAAATTACCAGCTGACATTTTATTCACCTTCCCGGTCTTAGGTAAGGTTTTCTCAGCTTCAGGAAGCAGTTCTTGACTTAAGTTCCAGTTAGGGGCCTTCTTACTCTAGAGCATCCCCAGATGAATTTTACTTGCTCTTTATTTATCTGGATTCCCTGCTACAGAGAAGGCCCTATGAGAGCTGGAGTCTTTTCTGTTTAGTTGAGAAGTATGCCTTTCAAAATCTGCAGCACAACCTGAAATGCATGAGCACTCAATAAAAGCTAATTAAATGGAGAATGGTGTCAAATGTCTCAGAAAGATCTAAAGTATCAGTGTAAGAGCTGACCATCATGCATGAGTTCTGACAACCTGGAGGCCCCTACTGACCTCAGTGGGGGCAGTTTCGGTGGAGAAGTGGCCACTGAGGCCAAGTCTCATGGGGCTAGCAGGACGTGGACACAGGAAGCCCCTTGGTTTAGGACATCGTCCCCCACTCCACGACTGGCCAAGACGCCCTCATGAGGTCCGTGGGCAGGACGGGCGGTGCACAGAGGAGGGTACTAGATGCCCAGGATATTGGTCTGGAAACAACGGCAAAGGAGCTAAAGTACCAGCTTAGGCTGAACTCTCCACCAGGCGCCGGAAGCAGCGTCTAGGACTCCCCAATAGTTGAGGGGCCCACAAGATCGTTTTAACTTCATTTTTAATAAGGAGAACAAAATCTGGCTAGAATCCTCATGAATCTGCACTCATGATGCTTGGATTAGAGTCCTCCTTATACCAACGCAGTCAAGAAATATATTTGGTGACGTTATTTAACAGAGGAAGGAGACCCCATAGGCAGAGTGCCCCCAGCCCACGGCAATCGCGATGCACCCCGGCAACTTTGCTGACCTCAGGAAGTCGAGTCTTGCCTCTGAGATTCATTTGTCACGAATCAGGTCACCCCCTTTCTTCTTTCTCTCGGCCTTTGGTCCCCCACTAGCTTCGGCTCTCCCATGCTTCCTATGTTGATCTGATGAGGAGACAACCCTATCCTCTGATATCTCAGAGACTGTGGTTTGGAAAGGTCTTAGAGGTTCCTGACAAGGCAAAACTGTATTTTATGATTTTTAACTCAGATATTGGGTTCAGCATGGGGGCATGTCTGCTGGTTTATGTTTCCCCTTGCGGTAAGCAAAGTCTACAAGTAGAGATACCATCTTCCTGGAACTGAAGAGAGAGACCAGCCGAACTGCCAGCACAGCACAGGATCTGGGAACAGGAAGTGTGGACTTTGTTGGAGGAAGCGATTAGCAACGATTACTCATGACCAGACGGGTGAAGACACCCCGAGGAAAGAACAGGGAGCCTGGGTAAGGGTTGCCTCCCCAAGAGGGACACCGAAAGGAACAAAGACAGCTGCCCAGGAAACACTTGAATTACAGACACCTTCTTCATACAGACTGTCTTTGTTCTAAGGAAAGGTCTCATTTGCTTTAGAGAAACTGGGAATTTCTCAACTTTACAAGAATCTGCACTTTTTAGAGGAGATAAGTCTCGCTCTAGCCCTTGGTATAGGGGGCCAGGGCGGGGCGTATGTGTGTGGGGGGAAGGGATTGCAAGCAGAGGCCATATAAAAGGCTTTGTTTCTTAAGGCTTTTCCATGTGGGAACCACCTGCAGCCAACACACAATTAGGCCTCTGTCTGTGGGAGGGTGAACCAAGGCCTGGTTCATGGCTGCACAGAAATGCTCTGTCTCATAGGAGTTTATCAAATTAAGTCACTAATCCGTTCATCGTCTTAAGCCCTTTCAGATGCTGGTGATGTAAATGTGAAGAAAACCCCACCCAGCCTGCTTCGTGGGCTCTTTCCTTCATAACCCAACGTCTGGTACAGTCACTTGTTTACTGTCTCTCCCCTGACTCTCTGCTCTGTGAGATTATCTTCTCCATAAGACTGGGGACTTGGCTCTTTTGTCCACTGGTCTGAATTCAGTGCCCAGAACAGCTACTGGTGTGGCTGGATAAATGATTGCTGCCTGATTTTGGATGATTGAATGAAATTATTTTATCATTCCTAATCCTGAACAAACTGTTAAAAGAAAAATCCAAGAGCTTCATTCATTCAGTTTTGATCACCATTTCCCAAGAATTTGATTTTGGAAATGTTTATAAAGACATGGTAAAATTGACATGGAAGCACCAGCACTTTTCTTTAATGCAAACTTGATATGACTATGTGACAGAGCACTACCGAGCTCTGCCTGAGCTTCTTACATTTTTCACTCTAAGGACTTAGAACTCCATTTGAGCTAGCAATTGTCTTTAGTAACTTCTAAGTATAGCTTTCACCAGCTCCATAATGCAGCTCACCTTTTAGTCGTTTGATAGTTCTTTCACACAAGGCTAAATCTCCTACTAGGAAAGATTAATCTGTTTGCAACGAGCTCTGCACATGTTCAAAACCTGGTTGGTCTGTTTTGACATTTAAAAGGAAAACAGACTTGGGCTCTGAACCAAATCAAACAACTCTGCAGGAATGAGCCATATGGCTTTGTAAAATGACCTGGTGACAGAACACAGCCTTAAGAGCATCAGGTAGAGAAAGTCACATGCAATGCCTGGTTCTTGAGTTCCTCTATTAAAGAGTCAATCCTTTGGGTGTCAAAAAGCTTCTTAATCTTCAAGTTTTCCCCTATAAATTTGGGAGAACTAAATACTCTAAGCCATCATGTCTTGACTAGCCAGTCAAAATTGTGAATTAGTGAAGTAGGGGGATACAAGACAACCGGGAATCAGTGGGGGGCGGGCATGATGCTTATGCCTCCTAATTTATACCCAGTAGCAACTTTAGAGTTTTACTTAGAAGGATGACCACCCAACTTGGGCTGGGGATGGATGGGGTGGCTGGTGGTGGTGCTTGAAGCTAAGTTTTCATAGTCATTTACATAAAATAAACATAACATCCTTTGTTCACATTAAGGCGTGGAGACAGACCACAAATAGAAATTGTATGGGAAGAATAACTAAAGGTCTCTGAAGACCCATGGGATGCTATTCCTGGCTCAGATCCATTGCTGCCCTGTAAAAATTGGGTGCAGTCTTGTTAGAGCACTTGCATTTTCTTAAGAAGTTGAAAACTTCGATTTTTATGAGAAATATCCTGGTGGTGGTGGCGATGGTGGTTTAGATTAGGTATCAGAGAAAGCCTGCTTGATAAATAAGGTGACATCTGAGTACCGTCTTGAGGAAATTGCGAAAGAGTGAACCAGGAGAGATAACAAAGGACGAGCCATAGAGTGCACAGCCCTTGACCGCACTGTGCTTGTGAGCCAGAGAGTGGCCACTGTGTTTGGAGAGGACCAGTGGGGAGAAGAGAGGGTGGATGCGACGGCAGAGAGGGGCAGGGAGGGCAGAGCGTGGGAGCCCGGACAGGTCTGCCGAGGGCCTGATGAGCCCGTGATGGGAGCCACCCGGGGAGCCCCTGGGAGGTTTTGACTGCAGTAGGAACTTGAGCCAAGGTGGAATCATTTCTGGCTGATGCCATGGGGAGAATAGTTAATTTAAAAAAAAAAGGAATCAGAGCAGGATCAGGGGAAAGAGGAGAAGGCATATTGTCTTGAATGGAGTTCAGCAATGACAGTGTTCTCCAAAGAAGAGAAAGTGAAAATTACTCAGTCGTGTCTGCCTCTTTGTGACCCCATGGACTGTAGAGTCCATGGAATTCTCCAGGCCAGAATACTGGAGTGGGTATCCTTCCCTTTCTCCAGGGGATCTTCCAAACCCAGGGATGGAACCCAGGTCTCCCGCATTGCAGGCAGATTCTTTACCAGCTAAGCCACCAGGGAAGCCCAAGAATACTGGAGTGGTCAGCCTATCCCTTCTCCAGGGGATCTTCCTGACTCAGAAATTGAACCAGGATCTCCTACATAGCAGGCGGATTCTTTATCAACTTAGCTATCAGGGAAGCCCCCAAACAAGAGAGCCTTTAAGTAAAGGGTGGGAATCCCCTGGTGGCTCAGACGGTAAAGAATCTGCCTGAGATGTGGGGGACCCAGATTCAGCCCCTGGGTTGGGAAGATCCCCTGGAGAAGGGAATGCAACCCACTCCAGTATCCTTGCCTGCAGAGTTCCATGCACAGAGGAGTCGGTATGTTACCATCTGTGGGGTTGCAAAGAGTCGCAACTAACACTAAGTAAAAGGTGGTTTCTCTCTCATTCAGAAGTTCCAACGTCTGAATCGAGAGGTCGAGGGCAGCTTTGTTTGCCAGGTCCTCAGGGAATCACAAACTTTTCAAGTCCTTGCTCTGAGGGCTTATCTAGGGCCCCAAGGCAGGTAGAAAAGAGCAAACTTAAGGCTGCCTATCTGTGGGTTAAAGAGTCAACTGTTTAGCAGGAAGCAGGATGAGAAAAAGCCACAGAGAAAGCCATAAAAGGTGCCTTACAGCTGTCTCTTATAAAGGGAGCTTCCTAGAAGTTCCACAGACATTTCTGCTTATATCCCCTTGGCTACACCAAGCTGCAAAAAGTGTTAGAAAATCTAAATTCTGTTGAAAATTCTATACTGTAGAAGGAGGGAATCTAGACACTGGGAGGAAGTAAGCAGGCTTTTAAAATTGTTTTTAAATTTGTTTAGGTTGTGCCAGGTCTTTCGTTATGGCATGCAGGATCTTCAGTTATGGCATGCAAACTCTTAGTTGTGCCACGTGAGATCTAGCTCCCTGACCAGGAATTGAACCTGGGCCCCTTGTATTGGGAGTGCAGAGTCTTAGCCGTTGGACCACAAAGGAAGCCCCAGAAATAAACAGTCTTGACCCCAGAACACAGTCATAGTAATCCTGTGAGAGATGACAGTGATGGAGGTGGTACGTAGCAGTCCGATTCTGGATACAGTCTGAACCCCAGAACACAGTCATAGTAATCCGTGAGAGATGACGGTAATGGAGGTGGTACGTAGCAGTCCGATTCTGGATACAGTCTGAACCCCAGAACACAGTCATAGTAATCCGTGAGAGATGACGGTGATGGAGGTGGTACGAAGCAGCCCGATTCTGGATACAGTCTGAAGTGGAGGAACGAGGACATGCCGATGCATTGGTTGCGGAGGGTTAGGGACAGCATGGAGGCCTTGGCTTAACCAACTCAAAAATGGAGCTACTTACATGGAGCAGGGTTAAGGATAGCCTTGGGGGCTTCGCTTGTAGCTCGGTCGGTAAAGAACCTGCCTGCAGCGCAGGAAACCTGTGTTTGATCCCTGGGTCAGGAAGATCCCCTGGAGAAGGAAATGGCTACCCCCTCCAGTATTCTCGCCTGGAAAATCTCATGGACAGGGGAGCCTGATGGGCTGCAGTCCATGGGGTCGCAAAGAGTTGGGCACGACTGGGCGACTAACACTTACTTACTTACTTAACCACTTCCTCGGTGGTTCAGTGGTAAAGAGACTGCCTGCAATGCAGGAGATGCAGGAGGTGTGGGTTTGATCCCTGGGTCAGGAAGATCCCCTGGAGGAAGGCAGGGAAATCCACTCCAGTATTCTTGCCTGGAAAATTCAATGGACAGAAGATCCTGGAAGGCTACAACCTGTAAGGTCACAAAGAATTGGACGGACTGAATTGATCAAGCATTCATGCAAGGATAATCAAGTTTGATTTTTGGGAGAGTTAATTCTGACACCCAAGTGGAGATGTCAGCAAGGCGGTTGGATATGCAAGCCTGGGGTTAAAGGGAGACATCTAGCTTAGAACAAGAAGTCCATCTGCATAGGCATAGTGTCAAAAGCCATAAAACTTGACAAGATTGTCTAGAGAGTGAGTGTACATCAGTTCAGTTCAGTCACTCAGTCGTGTCTGACTCTGTGCAACCCCATGGGCTGAAGCACGCCAGGCTTCCCTGTCCTTCATCATCTCCCAGAGCTGGCTCAAACTCATGTCCATCGAGTCAGGGATGCCACCCAACCATCTCATCCTCTGTCTGACTGTACATAGCAAAGAATGAATATAAAACATGGAGCCCAAGGCGTCCCAACATCAGAGGCTGGGGAAATGGAGAAGTGACCAGTCAGGAGGGCCAAGAACCAAGAGGGCGGGTCCCTGGATATCAACAGAATCAAGGATTTCAAAAGGAGTGCTAGACTGTATTAAATGCTGTGGCAGGTTGAGTAACACGGAGATTACTAGTTGACCTTTGGGTTTGGCAACATGAAGGTCATCAGTGATCACGGTATCAGCTGCTTCAGTGAAATGGTGAGGGAGAAAGCCTGTTTGGACTGCATTCACGAGAGAATGAAATTAGAGAAAGAGTGAATATAGACAAATTTTTTCAGGGATAGATGAAGACTAGCAGAGAAATGAGATAGGAGTTCAAAGAGGGTATGGAGTCAAGCTTTTTGTTTTTTAGAATGAGATCTATTATAGCATATTTTGTGTGTTGATGGGAAAGATTGAGTGTAGAGGGGAAATTTGAGGAAGCAGGAGAGAGAGGAGAGAGTTGTTTGGAGTAAGATCTGTGAGTAGAGAAGAGGAAAGGATGCCCAGTGCACATATGGACGTTTTGGCTTTAGAAAGGAGCACAGACAATTCACCCAGGAGGGAAGACAAATTACAGGAGAACAGATGAAGGTAGGCAGTAGATGCCTGGTGGGAGCTCGTGGGAATTCTCCCCTGACTGCTTCTGCTTTCTTACTGAAATAGAATTCTAACTCCTCAGCTCAGAGTGAGGAGGAGGGTAGAGGAACTAGAGACCTGTGAGGAGAGAAGAAAATATGAACTAGTTCTGTAGGAGACTGGATAAATGAATGAACTGTGGAAATGTAATGAAATTGCTGGGCACCACTATGGGCCAATTTATGTCAACGGTCATGGATTTAAAGTTTGTGACTGTGGGAGTGGGCAGACAATTGGATGGAAGCAGAGAAGGGGGTGGTAAGAAGAAAGGGGGTGGAGAGAGAAGTGGTGGGGAAGGAGAGAAGCGATGAAGCGTGGACTCATCCAAGGGAATCACAAGAAGTATAGAGAGACCATACAATCTCGCCTCTCTCTAAAGGAATGGGATGGTGATGAGGGACAGTGTTAAGGTCTTGGATTCAATAGATCACCTATAGACTTTCTTGGAAAAGTTGACCACCTGTGCAAAAATAGACGTTACTACTGTTTAGCATGACCTGGTAGAGAATGCTAAGCTGCAGTTAAAGTAAAATCCAAATTTCAGTGGCTTGAAAAACAAAGAGCCATTATCATAGGATTTGAGTTGATGGCCTCTCTGCTCCACACAGCTACTGAAGAACCCTGCCAGCTTCAACATGTGACATCTCGGAGTCATCCAAAACCTTACCGCATCATCGGTCAGTAGGGAGAAAAGGCATAGAGGGACACGCGTCAGAGGCTTCTATGGGCCATGCTTGGGAGTGGCGCGGATCACCTTAATCATACGTGACTGAAGAGAGCTTAGTCCTGTCTCTGCCGGGGGCGCTGAGAAGTGAAGCCCAGCTGTGTGCCCAGAAGGGAGAGGAGAAGAGGTTTGGCAGACATCCAGCAATCTCTATCACAGTTACCCCCTTCGGTCACCACCCCCCCTACACAAAACATGCGTACTCTTTAGGGGAGGAAACCCCACATTTCATCCGACGACTGCATCTGTTTCAGAGCCTAGGATCTCCAGGTGATGCCCAGACCGTTCCTTCCGGTCCAGACCTGATTTCCCAGGGCCCAGCAGCCTCTGAGCCAAAAGACAAGTTACCTGCCTCCTCTCTGGTCAGCTAATGTACCAAGTGGATGGGATGGTCGTGATGAAAACTCTCAGAGCAGTCCCTGGTCCACAGCAATGATGGAATCCTGTTTGGGGGGATATTGCTAGGAACCCCAACCCTTCGAAGAAAATGTCTTGGTAGATCCTGGGTCTGTCCTTTCAGGGGGCTTTCTTGTCCATTGTTCTTCATGGCCAGAGGACAAGAAAATTCTTGTCTGTTATTCCCATGGTTATGTATGAGGTGGATATTGGGGAGTACGTTATAAGGAGTTACACACCTTTCAAATCCCACTTTCTGCTCCTGTATGAGGGTAATTTTAGACACAAGCTTGTGGTTTCTCGGCAGTATAGTTTGCCTAAAAACATGATAGGCTTCTGACCTACTTGCTTACAGTCGGTTTCATGTGGAAGTAAATAAGCTCCAAATTCTTTTCTAGGTTGGTTCTACAGTCTCTCTTTTTTTTCTCAGCCCATCCGCTTTGCCCTCATGGAATCTATATTGATGTCTGAAATGATCTTCTTAGGTGGCAAGGCAAAGTGTTTGATATTATCTTTGCCACTGGGCTGGCTCTCCCTCCTTTTTTATGACCTACAAATCTTATCTTCTAGCATTTGAGGTACAGAAACCATCAGTTTTCCCAGCCCTAAGAAGCTCTGAATTCTAAGAGTCTTTTTATTTTGTTTCACTTCAGCTGGCAAACTACACCATTTTTGCCTGAGATCATCTCTTTCTTGTAATACTTTGCTAAAAGCAATAAATAGCGGCCAACGTACACTAACATTCTTGCTTCTTCTAATTGCTTCCTCTAGAGCTACAGACTTAATAGGCTCTTGGTCTACCTTCTGAGTGATCAGAGGTGATAATTTTATTAAGTTATTTTCCCCCCATGGATTACACAAGCTCTAGTTTTCAGTCTTTGATACGCGTTTATTTCTTTCCTTTGTTCTGAACACTAAACTAATTCCATATGTTTAGGTGTTTGCCACGGTGCAGGTAATAACTTCAGGTAATTGACTAGGGAATGTGGTAACATAAGCCCCTAAAATCCAGTGGCTTAAGTAAGAAACGTGTTCTTCTCTCACCGAGGGAGCGCAGGGCCGCAACAGCAGGGTCATAGGGTCTCGAGGGCCCGAGTGTGATGGTGAGTCTGCTGTTTCCCACATGGTTCCTGATGGTCCCCTTCCCAGTCCGCATGTGGAGGAGCGCGACTGGGGGTTAAGGAGCCTGCCTGCCCTGGAAGGGTTCACGCGGCTTCTGCTCACATTCCACTGGTGAGATCCTAGTCACATAAAGCAACGGTAAAGGAAACCAGGAAATGTACCCCAGCCATGGGCCCAGGAAGAAGGAAGGAATGGATTTAGGCGGTCTCTGTCTCACACAATAATAAAGAGTGAGGACAAATAAATGAGACTAATTCTTCCTACGTGTGTGTGCTAAGTCGCTTCAGTCGTGTCTGACTCTTTGCAGCCTTATAGACTGTAGCCCACCAGGCTCCTCTGTCCATGGGATTCTCCAGGCAAGAAAACTGGAGTGGGTTGCCATGCCTTCCTCCAGGGGATCTTCTGAACCCAGGGATTGAACCCGAGTCTCTTACATCTCCTGCATTGGCATGTGGGTTCTTTACCACTAGTGCCACCTGGTAAGCCCAGTTCTTCCTATAGAACATCTTAATGTATATGAAGTGCCATGACATCATGGGAAGAATTAGAGGAGGTATATATAAGGTTTATAGAAGGAACCAACGGCTAAATTAAGGGATTTAACCAAAAAATTAATGGACAGAATTCATTAAATCTAGTGCCTAATAAAGAAAAAAACTATCTAATTTGGTCTGGTTTGCAGCAACAGCGATAGATGAGAAAACTATCTTATGAAGATTATTGATTTTTCCACTTCTAGAAGCTGAGATTTCCTTCACTTTGAAAAAACCCTAAGAATAAAAATGACAACAAGGAGGCTCATTTTAAACGAGAATACAGTGCACAATACACATCAACTATATTTCAGATTAAAACAACAATGCTTTGCTTATCACACGAATTATTTGTTGTTTAGTTGCTAAGTTGTGTCTGACTCTTTGTGACCCCCAGGGGCTGCAGCACGCCAGACTCCTCTGTCCTCCACTATCTCCTGGAGTTTGCTCAGATTCATGTCCACTGAGTCGGTGTTGCCATCCAACCATCTCATCCTCTGCCACCCCCTTCTCTGCTTGCCTTCAATCTTTCCCAGCATCAGGATCTTTTCCAATGAGTCGGCTCTTCACATTAGGTGGCCAAAGTACTGGAGCTTCCGGCAAGGACAGATAATAAAACAGAGACCTTATTTTACAATAGTAAGCAAAAAAACTATTTTTAAAGGAATAATCCAAGACCTCTGA